TAGCGTTTTAGGGTTTAGGGTTTAGGGTTTGGGGTTTAGGGTTTAGGGTTTGGATTTTAGGGTTTAGGGTTTAGGTAGTATTAGGGAGACCCCTTAAAGGGGACCCTTCTTCACCCTACTTATGGCTCTCCTAAAATGGGGACCTGATTCAGAGGGTCTATGTCGCCAAGGGTCCCCTTAAGCCTAACTCCTCCTTCAAGGGCTCTTTTTTTGGAAGTCTTGGAGGGTTCCTTAAAGGGGCTTTATACGGCCTTCCTCATAGGAGGTTCTAGAAGGGTTCATCAGGTTTTAGAATTCAGGCTTTGGGGTGCAGGGTACAGTATGTGAGCCTCGAAAAAGGATCCAAATCCGAGCAATGAAACCCACGCAGTGTTACATACAAGATTAATGGAGCCGTCAAACCGGTATCGTTTTCATTGCTTGAGATAGGCCGCTTTCATGGTCTCCATCGTTGAGATCCTTGAGGAAATGTCGTGCCCTAAACCACACCTGAATCCTACACCCTTTAAGGAACCACTTGTCGGCTTGCTTTTATTTTAGAACCCTTTAAAGTAGAAGCCATAAAGTCGGAGCAGTACAGTCCGCATGCCCTTAAGTCATCCTAAACCCATGTTCCAACTTTCTGGAAGTTGCTTATAGAACCCTTTAAGGACGTGCTTGGTAAAGTTTTGGGTTTTCAGGGATGCCAGTAGCATGGAGCCTGGAAGGTGGCATACCGGCCTCTCTGCAATTTCGCAAACCCCTTTACCCTGAACCCTAAAGCCTAAGCCTCCTAAAACCCTAAACCCCAACACCCTAAACCCTAAACCCTGCAATTACCCTAAACCCTAAACCCCAAAACCCTAAACCCTAAAACCCCTCAAACCCTAAGCCCCAAAACTCTCAACCCTGAACCCTGCTAAACCCCAAAACCCTAAACACTAAAACCTCTAAAACCCTAAACCCCAACACCCTAAACCCTGCAATTACCCAAAACCGTAAACCCCAAAACCCTAGACCCTAAACCCCAAACCCTCAAACCCCTAAAACCCTAAACCCCAAAAGCCCTAAACCCTAAACCCGGAAATAGGCTCCAGACTGAACCACGATACTGCAGAAATCGGATGTGCCCCCTGCTCCTACTGTTGATAGAATAAATCCTGCATGACCTTTCAAGGACCCCAAACTATGGGAATTGTGGTGTATTCCTTTTTATGGGTAGCGCAGGCTTTATATCATCAACCCTAGTAGCTCGAGCTGTGGGAAAAGGCTCTGGCATGTGGATGCACCGCGAGGCAGTCGGTTTTGATGGCCGTGTGTAGTTCTGAAGTCCGTCTCCAGGCGTGCGATGTAGAGAGCACCTTAAGGAGCTATAGAATCACTACGAACGCCTGAATAATTGCCAATTATTTCTTACGGTTCCTTGTTATAAATATACGATCAACGAGCCCAAAACCCTGTTGAAATTATTAAGGCCCCTGCATTAGAGAGCAACTTCAGGAGCAAGCGGTTCATAGCCACCTTGAAGAGGTCTCTGTGTGCGAGTGCAGAAGGCGTGACAGGATCCCAGCCCTGGGTAGGGATAGATTTAGGGTTAAGGCGTTTAGTATAGGGTTTAGGATGTAGGGTTTGGGGTCTAGGATGATCCAACATGCAGAGTTTGATACGATTCTAGCATCTAAACCTTAAGCCCTCAACCAACATCCTGCAGATGATTCGCCACTGGAAAACGCCGTGCAGCTTGAGAAGGACGGGGCGACCATGCATTACATTACTTTAGGTATGAGTCGGTGATCGGCATTTTTCTGCTTATCCTTCTGCCTCCGTCATGTAGGAACCTGATTAAGACAGGTTGGTACTGTAACGTGAATGTAGTAGGATCCATATCAAGGGCCCTAATTAATAAGGACCCAAGGTTTCTTGATTGATCAGGTTCCGTTATTCATAATCACAATGCTGGTCTGTCGTCCTGGTCTGTCGTCCTGCTACTGGTAGCAGACGAATGTCGCAGCCGGCCCGAAAAGGTGGAGCGCATCAAACGCATACTCCAAGTCCTTGTGCGTCAGCCAAACCCTATAAACCCTAAACCCTAAACCGACGCGACTACCAGGTAGTCATCGGGCAGCTGAGAGAGTCGCTCCATCAGATGACCAAAGATGTCCGTGACCTCGTCCAGCCACACCAGTTGGCCTCAAGGGCCTGCTTCCGCCATACTTGCCAGGGCTGCCAGGGGGTCTCATCCGTCGCTCACCATGGGCAGCACATATTGTACTATAAATATAATAAGGAGCCACCAAAATAGTATAGGTAATTATTACCTGAATAACATTGGTGGTTCCTTATTATATTTTGTAGTGAGTCATATCCACATGGCAGCACGATTCGAGCACTCTTGCAAAAATCCAGTCTGGCATGGCCGCTGCACGCAGCAACACTCGATCCACCGGCGCTGGGGGTGGCGGGCCAGTGGCCTCCACGGATCCCTAAACCCTAAACCCTAAACCCTAAACCCTAAACCCTAAACCCTAAACCCTAAACCCTAAACCCAAAACCCTAAACCGTGTCCTTAAGGCCTTCTATCCGGAGTCTGTGCCCTAGACCCCTAAACCCTAAACCCCTAAACCCTAAACCCCTAAAAACCCTGAGCCCTACACCCCTAAACCCTGAGCTCCTCAACCCTAAACCCCAAAGCCCCTAAGCCCCTAAACCCTAAACCCCGAAGCCCCTAAACCCTACACCCCTACACCCCTAAACCCCTAAACCCTCAACGCCAAACCCCAGCCCTGAACTCCTATGCTTCGATGTGTGGAGGAGCGGGTCCTGAGTGGAGGGGCCGACGGTGAAATGGCCACTCTGGCGCCACAGATCCAGGATTTTTGGTCTTAAGGGGCTTCATGGCTTTGGAGTCTTCAGGCGTCAGGGTTTACGGGTTTTCGGGTTCAGGGCTTCATGGGTTTATAGCTTTGGGGCTTTAGGGTTGAGGTTTATACCCAGAGAACCCAATACCCCTTAAATAAGGAATATACCTTAAATCATAATATTTTTGGGGCTTGAGGGTTGAGGTTTTATAGGCTTTGCTTTGGTCTTAGGGCCTTAGGGCTTAGGGCTTCATGGATTTAGGGTTTCGGGGTTTAGGTTTGAGGGTTTAGGTATACCTAAACTCTGAAAGCTTAAATCATAAATCCATGAAGCCCATTGTTATGTTTTTGATGGTGTTTTTCGGGTTTAATAGAGGGCCTTAATAATTAGAATAGGGTTTTGGGGCCCATTTTGCTACAAATTATCATAAGGAACCCCCCCCATAACAATACAGGTATATTTACCTAGACTATTTAGGTTCCCTATTATAATTATAGTACAACATACACCCAAAACTCTATTCTAATTATTGAGGCCCCTTATATTA